GAAAGAGCAGTTCTAAAATACACATTAAAGGTGGTGATGCTCAAGCATCTGGGTGATTGAAGTTGTACTGTACTGTAACCACGTTTTAACCTCCAAACACCAATGGAGAAAAAAGAAATTTCATTTATTTACGGGTTCTGGTTAGCTGAGTTTAATTAACATTTTATTATCTTGGCATATTTTTCTTACATTTCTTCAAGGGGGATGCAGTTAAAGACCTGATGCTTCGCTTCCTGGGTGAGAGAGCCGCGGCGAAGAGGCAGGTCTTAAATGCCGCGTCCGTAGAGCAGACTTTTGTTGGGTTGAAACAGCTGATCGTAAGTAATGATGTATTTGATTTCAATATTGTTGTTTTTATAAGGCCTGACTTTCTTTGTAGTATTTTCCTTAGAGTTCATTACTTTGAATGTATTATCTAAAGCCCTTGCATATAAATAAAATTTTGTTGAATTAGATACCAGTCCTGTGCAGAAAAAGCGTCATATTAACATACTTTTAATTTTAAGGCCAAATAGTTAAAAAGCCATTATTTTAAATGATTGCATTATTTGAAGCAGAATATACTTTGATTAAATATGCTTCATCAAATACAATAACTAAAGATAAGTAATTTTTATTTTTATGTTGTTCTTTTTGAAATACTCTGTTTACTTGGTATAAAGGGTTTATTATTGAATGGGTGGGTTCACTAAAAATGCACACAAAAATCGTTGTTCATTACTAGGAGTAAGTGTGACTATACAGGCAGAGATGCAGTCCCAAATATTAATGGGAAACTATCTGAACTGAAGTCATGTCAACATGAACAGGTAGGTGTTTCTGGCGGTCATTGAACCCCGGGAAACTGTATGCCCCCCACAATTGCGTTTTTCCTTGGTACCTTTTATCATATTTACAGAAGTATGTGTCCTCAAAGAGGTAAATAAGAGTCATATGTTTAGTTGGTTAGCAAATATTTTATACATAAAGCAATTAAAGTTTAGGGGCACCTGGGTACCTCAGTCAACTGAGCAGCCAACTCTTGATTTCAGCTCAGGTCATGATCTCAGGGTCGTGGGATCGAGCCCTGTGTTGGGCTCCAGGCTCAGCATGGAGTCTGCTTCTCCCTCTCCCTCTGCTCCACCCCGTGCTTTCTCGAGCTCTCTAAAATAAATAGATCTTTTTTTTAAAAAAAGCAATCAGGGGTGCCTGGGTGACTCCATCGTTAAGCGTCTGCCTTCAGCTCAGGTCATGATCCCATGGTCCTGGGATTGAGCCCCAAGTCAGGCCCTCTGCTCAGCGGGAAGCCTGCTTCTCCCTCTCCCACTCCCCCTGCTTGTGTTCCCTCTCTCGCTGTCTGCTATCTCTCTCTCTCTCTCTCTCTCTCTGTCAAATGAAATCTTAAAAAAAAATTTTTTAAAAAGCAATTAAAGTTTAATTTTTTAGTAAATATAAATCAAATGCTTCATTGGGTTTCTTTTATTGAAGTGATTCTGGAATTATTGCTACGACTAAGAAGCTTTGGGAAGGAAAAATATGGAAATAGTCTGGCTTTTTGTTTGTTTGTTTTTTAAGATTTTTCTTTTTTAAGCTATCTGCACACCCAATGTGGAACTCAAAACGCCCAACCGGAGATCAAGAGTTGAATGCTCTGGTGACTGAGCCAGCCAGGGCATCCCAGAAATAGTCTGTTTTTTTGTGGGTTTTTGTTTTGTTTTGTTTTTTTTTACTGTAGAGCACCCTCTCGGGAAGCAGTCTTTATTTGCATTTTAAGAGAGTGAGCACATAGATGAAAAACGCTGCAACCAATTGACACAACACGCAGTCCCTTTTTTTTAAATTTAATTTTATTATGTTATGTTAGTCACCATACAGTACATCATTAGTTTTTGATGTCGTGTTCCATGATTCATTGTTTGCGTTTAACACCCAGTGCTCCATGCAGAACGTGCCCTCCTTAATACCCATCACCAGGCTAACCCATCCCCCCACCCCCTCCCCTCTAGAACCCTCTGTTTGTTTTTCAGAATCCATAGTCTCTCAGGGTTCATCTCCTCCTCCGATTTTCCCCACTTCATTTTTCCCTTCCTGCTATCTTTTTCTTCTTCTTTTTTAACATATAATGTATTACTTGTTTCAGAGGTACAGATCTGTGATTCAGCAGTCTTGCACAATTCACAGCTCTCGCCATAGCACATACCCTCCCCAATGTCTATCACCCAGCCACCCCATCCCTCCCACCCCCCACCACTCCAGCAACACTCAGTTTGTTTCCTGAGATTAAGAATTCCTCATATCAGTGAAGTCATATGATACATGTCTTTCTCTGACTGACTTATTTCGCTCAGCATAACACCCTCCAGTTCCATCCACGTCGTTGCAAATGGCAAGATCTCATTCCATTTGATGGCTGCATAATATTCCATTGTATATATATATACCACACCTTCTTTATGATTCATCTGTCAATGGACATCTTGGCTCTTTCCACAGTTTGGCAATTGTGGACATTGCTGCTATAAACATCGGGGTGCACGTACCCCTTTGGATCCCTACATTTGTATTTTGGGGTAAATACCCAGTAGTGCAATTGCTGGGTCTTATGGTAGCTCTATTTTCACATCATTAGTTTTTGATGTGGTGTTCCGTGATTCATTGTTTGCATATAACACCCAGTGCTCCATTCAGTATGTGCCCTCCTTAATACCCATCACCGGGCAAACCCATCCCCTCCACCCCCCTGCCCTCTAAAACCCTCAGTATGTTTCTCAGAGTCCATCATCTCTCATTGTTCGTCTCCCACTCCGATTTCCCCCGCTTCATTTTTCCCTTCCTACTACCTTTTTTTTCTTTTTAATGTATAATGTATTATTTGTTTCAGAGGTACAGGTCTATGATTCATCAGTCTTACACAATTCACAGCGCTCACCATAGCACATATGCTCCCCAGTGTCCATCACCCAGCCACCCCATCCCTCCCACCCCCCCACCACTCCAGCAACCCTCAGTTTGTTTCCTGAGATTAAGAGTCTCTTATGGTTTGTCTCCCTCTCTGGTTTCATCTTGTTTCATTTTTTTCCTCCCTTCCCTTATGGTCCTCTGTCTTGTTTCTCAAATTCCTCATATCAGTGAGATCATATGATACTTGTCCTTCTGTGATTGACTTATTGCACTTAGCATAATACCCTCTAGTTCCATCGACATCGTTGCAAATGGCAAGATTTCAGGGGTTTTTGATAGCTGCACAGTATTCCATTGTATATATATATATACCACATCGTCTTTATCCATTCATCTGTTGATGGACATATTGGCTCTTTCCATAGTTTGGCTATTGTGGACATTGCTGCTATAAACATTAGGGTGCACATACCCCTTTGGATCACTACATATGTATCTTTGGGGTAAATACCCAGTAGTGCAATTGCTGGGTTGTAGGGTAGCTCTATTCTCAACTTTTTGAGAACCCTCCATACTGTTTTCCACGGTGGCTGCCCCAGCTTGCATTCCCACCAACAGTATAGGAGGGTTTCCTTTTCTCCACATCCCCACCAATATCTGTCATTTCCTAAATTGTTAATTTTAGCCATTCTGACTGGTGTGAGGTGGTATCTCATTTGAGGTTTTGATTGGGATTTCCCTAATGCCAAGTGATGTTGAGCACTTTTTCATGGGTCTGTTGACTTTTTGGGTATCTTCTTTGCAGAAATGTCTGTTCATGTCTTCTGCCCATTTCTTGATTGGATTATTTGTTCTTTGGGTGTTGAGCTTAAGAAGTTCTTTATAGATTTTGGATACTAGCCATTTATCTGATATGTCATTTGCAAATATCTTCTCCCATTCTGTCCGTTGCCTTTTGGTTTTGTTGACTGTTTCCTTTGCTGTGCAGAAGCTTTTTATCTTGATGAAGTCCCAATACTTCATTTTCGCCTTTGTTTCTCTTGCCTTTGGAGATGTGTCTAGCCAGAAGTTGCTGTGGCTGAGGTCACAAAGAGTGCTGCCTGTGTTTTCCTCGAGGATTTGGACAGATTCCTGTCTCACATTGAGGTCTTTCATACATTTTGAGTCTATTTTTGTGTGTGGTGTAAGGAAATGGTCCAGTTTCATTCTTCTGCATGTGGCTGTCCAGTTTTCCCAACACCATTTGTTGAAGAGACTGTCTTTTTTCCATTGGACATTCTTTCCTCCTTTGTCAAAGATGAGTTGACTATAGAGTTGAGGGTCCATTTCTGGGCTCTCTGTTCTGTTCCATTGATCTATGTGTCTGTTTTTGTGCCAGTACCATACTGTCTTGATGATTACAGCTTTGTAGTAGAGCTTGAAGTCTGGAATTGTGATGCCACCAGCTTTGCTTGTCTTTTTCAACATTCCTCTGGTTATTCGGGGTCTCTTCTGGTTCCATACAAATTTTAGGATTATTTGTTCCATTTCTCTGAAAAAAGTGGATGGTATTTTGATAGGGATTGCATAAATGTGTAGATTGCTCTAGGAAGCATTGACATCTTCACAATATTTGTTCTTCCAATGAGCATGAAACGTTTTGCATTTCTTTGTGTCTTCCTCAATTTCTTTCATGAGTATTTTATACTTTTCTGAGTACAGATCCTTTGCCTCTTTGGTTAGATTTATTCCTAGGTATCTTATGGTTTTGGGTGCAATTGTAAATGGGATCGACTCCTTAATTTCTCCTTCTGTCTTGTTGTTGGTGTACAGGAATGCCACTGATTTCTGTGCATTGATTTTATATCCTGCCCCTTTACTGAATTCCTGAATGAGTTCTAGCAGTTTTGGGGTGGAGTCTTTTGGGTTTTCCACATAGAGTATCAATCATCTGCAAAGAGTGAGAGTTTGACTTCCTCTTTGCCGATCTGGATGCCTTTGATTTCTTTGTATTGTCTGATTGCTGTGGCTAGGACTTCTAATACTATGTTGAATAGCAGTGGTGAGAGTGGACATCCCTGCCGCGTTCCTGACCTTAGGGGACAAGCTCTCAGTTTTTCCCCATTGAGAATGATATTCGCATCGCTTCTCGGCCTTTTGGCTAAGATCAAGTGGAGAATGATATTCGCTGTGGGTTTTTCATAGATGGCTTTTATGATATTGAGGTATGTACCCTCTATCCCTACACGCTTAAGAGTTTTAATCAAGAAAGGATTCTGTACTTTGTCAAATGCTTTTCCTCCTCTATTGAGAGGATCATATGATTCTTGTACTTTCTTTTATTAATGTATTGTATCACATGGATTGATTTGTGAATGTTGAACCATCCTTGCAGCCCAGGAATAAATCCCACTTGGTCGTGGTGAATAATCCTTTTAATGTACTATTGGATCCTATTGGCTAGTATTTTGGTGAGAATTTTTGCATCCATGTTCATCAGGAATATTGGTCTGTAATTCTTTTTGATGCGGTCTTTGTCTGGTTTTGGGATCAAGGTAATGCCGGCCTCATAAAATGAGTTTGGAAGTTTTCCGTCCATTTCTCTTTTTTGGAACAGTTTCAGGAGAATAGGTATTAATTCTTCTTTAAATGTTTGGTAGAATTCCCCTGGGAAGCCATCTGGCCCTGGGCTCTTGTTTGTTGGGAGATTTTTGATGACTGCTTCAATTTCCTTAGTGCTTATATGTCTGTTCAGGTTTTCTATTTCTTCCTGGTTCAGTTTTGGTAGTTTATACATCTCTAGGAATGCATCCATTTCTTCCAGATTATCTAATTTGCTGGCACTTAGTTGCTCATAATACGTTCTTGTAATTGTATTTCTTTGGTGTTGGTTGTATCTCTCCTCTTTCATTCATGATTTTTTTTATTTGGGTCGTTTTTCTTTTTGATAAGTGTCGCCAGGGGTTTATCAATCTTATTAATTCTTTCAAAGAACCAGCTCCTAGTTTCATTGATCTGTTCTGCTGTTCTTTTGGTTTCTATTTTCATTGATTTCTGCTCTCATCTTTATTATTTCTCTTCTGCTGGGTTTGGGCTTTATTTGCTGTTTTTTCTCCAGCTCCTTTAGGTATAACGTTAGGTTGTGTATTTGAGACCTTTCTTGTTTCTTGAGAAAGGTTGATATTGCTATATACTTCCCTCTTAGGACCTCCTTTGTTGCATCCCAAAGATTTTAAACAGTTGTGTTTTCATTTTCATTGGTTTCCATGAATTTTTCTAATTCTTCTTTAATTTCCTGGCTGACCCATTCATTCTTTAGTAGGATGCTCTTTAGCCTCCATGTATTTGAGCTCTTTCCAACTTTCCTCTTGTGATTGAGTTCTAGTTTCAAAGCATTGTGGTCCGAAAATATGCAGGGAATGATCCCAGTCTTTTGGTACCAGTTGAGACCTGATTTGTGACCTAGGATGTGATCTATTCTGGAGAATGTTCCACGGGCACTACAGAAGAATGTGTATTCTGTTGCTTTGGGCTGGAACGTTCTGAATATATCTGTGAAGTCCATTTGGTCCAGTGTGTCATTTAAAGCCTTTATTTCCTTGTTGATCTTTTGCTTAGATGATCTGTTCATTTCAGTGAGGGGGGTGTTAAAGTTCCCTACTGTTATTGTATTGTTGTCTATGTGTTTCTTTGAATTTGTTATTAATTGGCTTATATAACTGGCTGCTCCCATGTTAGGGGCATAGATATTTACAACTGTTAGATCTTCTTGTTGGATAGACCCTTTAAGTAGGATATAATGTCTTTCCTTATCTCTTACTAGAGTCTTTGTTTTACAATCTAATTTGTCTGATAGAAGGATTGCCACCCCTGCTTTCTTTTGGTGTCCATTAGCATGGTAAATGGTTTTCCACCCCCTCACTTTCAATCTGAGGGTGTCTTTAGGTCTAAAATGAGTCTCTTGCAGGCAGCATATGGATGGGTCTTGTTTTTTAATCCATTCTGATAGCCTGTGTCTTTTGATTGGGGCATTTAGCCCATTTACATTCAGGGTAACTATTGAAAGATAGGAATTTAGTACCATTGTATTGCTTGTAAGTTGACTGTTACTGTATATTGTCTCTGTTCCTTTCTGGTCTGTTACTTTTAGGCTCTCTCTTTGCTTAGAGGACCCGTTTCAATATTTCTTGTCAGGCTGGTTTGGTGTTTGCAAATTCTTTGTTTTTGTTTGTCCTGGAAGCTTTTGATCTCCCCTTCTATTTTCAATGACAGCTTAGCTGGATATAGTATTCTTGGCTGCATATTTTTCTTGTTTAGTGCTCTGAAGATATCTTGCCAGTCCTTTCTGGCCTGCCAGGTCTCTGTGGATAGGTCTGTTGCCAATCTAATGTTTCTACCATTGTAGGTTACATATCTCTTCTCCCGAGCTGCTTTCAGGATTTTCTCTTTGTCTCTGAGACTCGTAAGTTTTACTATTAGATATCGGGGTGTTGACCTAGTTTTATTGATTTTGAGAGGGGTTCTCTGTGCCTCCTGGATTTTGATGCCTGTTTCCTTCCTCACATTAGGGAAGTTCTCTGCTATTATTTGCTCCAATATACCTTCTGCCCCTCTCTCTCTTTCTTCTTCTTCTGGGATCCCAATTATTTTAATGTTGTTTCATCTTATCGTATCGCTTATCTCTTGAATTCTGCCCTTGTGATCCTATAGTTGTTTCTCTCTCTTTTTCTCAGCTTCTTTATTCTCCATCATTTGTTCTTCTAATTCTCTCTTCTGTCTCATTTATCCTAGCAGTTGGAGCCTCCATTTTTTATTGCACCTCATCAATAGCCCTTTTGATTTCGACTTGGTTAGATTTTAATTCTTTTATTTCTCCAGAAATGGTTTCTCTAATAACTTCCATGCTTTTTTCAAGCCCAGCTAGTATCTTTATAATCGTTATTCTGAACTCTAGTTCGAACATCTTACTAATGTCTGTATTGATTAGGTCCCTGGCTGTCAGTACTGCCTCTTGTTCTTTTTGTTGAGGTGAGTTTTTCCGTCTTGTCATTTTGTCCAGAGGAGAACAGATGAATGAGAGAACAAAATGCTAAAAGGGTAAACAACGACCCCAGAAAAATATACACTTCCAGAAAGTGGTCGCTTTTCTGTTCATGGAGTTGCTGCTATTCTTTGCTTCGATCTCCTGTTGAGTTTGTAGGTGTTCAGATTGGTTTGATACCTATCTAGCTGAATTCCTGGGACCAAACAAAATTTAGGTCCCTACTCCTCCGCCATCTTGCTCCTCCCTATCGCTCAGTCCCTTTTTAACGCGATAGTCTTGTTTCTAAAAGCAATGGGAGGGCACCTGGGTGGCTCAGTTGTTAAGCATCTGCCTTTGGCTCAGGTCATGATCCCGGGGTCCTGGGATCAAGTCCCACATCAGGCTCCCTGCTCGGCGGGAGGCTTGCTTCTCCCTCTCCCATTCCCCCTGCTTGTGTTCCTGCTCTCGTTATCTCTCTCTGTCAAATAAATAAATAAAATCTTTAAAAAAATAAATAAAAGCGATGGGAAGCAACTAGTTTTTAAATATCCGTATACTTTATCGTTAATGAAGTGATAAGTCTTAAGAGGTGAGCATTTCCATGGACCTGTGACGCTCGTCACATGAGTAGGCTTGTGCGTTGTCGGGAGGGTTCTTGTCATTGCCTTGGTTTGACCTTGAAGCAGCTGCTGTGATATGTCATCAGGAGGGTAGCCTGCACTGGAGGGTCACTTTGGAGTGACCAGTTGATTTTTATTTTTTTAAGTAAACTCTGCTCCACATGTTGGGCTCGAACTCAGGACTCCAAGATCAAGGGTCGCACAGTCTTTCAACTGAGCCACCCAGGCACCCCTGTAATAACCAGTTTAAAAAGTACACACATAGCCACACACAGTCCCTGTAACTAATTTGTTCCACAGGTAATCTTTTTACCTTCTTTGATTATTCGTGGTGTTAATAAATACATACTGTGGTTTGGAGTTTTTTTCGTACATTGAAAATACATAACGCCAGGAGAGATTTTATTAGAGTCCTGACAAGGAGACCTATTTAAGGTGGAAAATGTATTTATTAAAATATTACCTTGCCCTGGTATTTTAATTATGTCCTAAAATAATTCCTGTCCTCTTTAAGATTAGGAAAGAGTTTTGAAATGTAAGTAATGTCAGCACATTCTAGTTTGTAATTTACAGGGAAATGAATGTCACAGCCTGTGGAGAAGGACATTTTAATCACTTTAATGGTATCATATATAGAGTTAATGATTCCTTTTGAGTCGTAGATGGGGAAAAGTTATATACATACTATTGGTTACTTGAGTGACTTTTATTGGACTATTTTTCTCATCTTTTGGAAGTCATTGAATGCCTGTGTTCAGTTTTTCAAATAGTTGTATCTTATTTTCTAGTGTAAAAAAAAGTAACATTTATTTAAGTTTAGATCTTTTCCCCATCCCAAACTAACTTTATTATCAGAGTTCTACATGCCATTTACAGTAATTATGAGATTTTCATAAGATTTTTCTCTACAGAGCTTAAAGTTTTACAGGGTATGCTTTATATTGTATTTATAAAAATAATTTCTTCACCAAATACTTCTGACATCTAATATCAAAATGGTGCATGATCACATGGAAGGGGAGTAGAAGGTGGGAAACAATGGGATAAAAATAGCAAAAAGCACTCTGAGAAAATATATAATTATAATTTCAAATGGCAGCATGTAATCAACAGCTCTGGCTCACAGGTTGCTGAGGTGAGGGCCCACTGTTCTGAAGGAAGGGACTACCAGCCGTTAGAACTCAACACTGTGTTGGGTCGTCCTGGCCTGTCCTTTAAAGAGTCTCCTTCATCCCCTCCCTCAGACCTCCTCCCTGGCTCACCAGTCCCACGGCCCAGAGCTCTGCAGGATACCGGAGGGGGGGGCGGGTACAGGCCAGCCCTGCCTCCCCCAGCCCGTTTCTGTTAACAGAGAGGCCCCGGCCCTGCTAGGTCCATGTCACCACTCGGGCAAGTCCGAAGAACAAAAAAGAACATCAGAAAGCTGAAGGCCGTGCCCTTCGCAGGCTGGAGAAATAAACTGCGGGCACACACACCCGCCCGCATGCGCACGCTTGGCGTGCATGAACAGGGAAATGTCCCCAGGCCTTCTGCATGAAGCTCGTGCAGGGACAGACCCCGAGGAAGAGTGACACTTGCATGGGAACCACGTACCTGCCATGGTAGCTGGTTGGGGGCCAAAGGCGGGTCAGGGAAATGACAAGGGCATAGGGTTGCCAGTGGGACAGGACGGGCCCGCGGCACATAC